TTGAGGGGTGATTTTGGTCCCTTAAATTTGTAATTTATATCATTTTGGTCATTCAAGTTGACAGTTTGTGTCACTTTAGTCACTAAAGTTCCAAAGAATGTTCTTCAAGTGTGATCACATGAGATGCACATGACGATCTCCGTTAGTAAATTCCAACTGCCATTTTTAATTAGACCCAAAGTGATACAAATTAAAAAATTAAGGGACCAAATTGAAAACTAAATTGATATAAAACGCATAAATTGTGGACCAAAAATTTATTTTACAAAAAGTCAATAAAATTGACAATTAAGACTTACCCAATGCCCATTCCCTTAACTAGGATTAGTCTAGTAGTCAAACTAGGCTAACCTGACATGTTGACTAATTAATTTCCTAGACGCATAGCCCTAGGAAGGTTAGGAGTTGCGAGCCACGACAAGCATGATTCGGCTCAATGCTGACCCGAATATCCTTAATATGATTCACATCATCGTTATGTAAGTTTTTGAATCACTCCAAATTCCATTTATAATAGATGAATTAAAAAGCCATACTATTCAAAATGTAATAAGACTTAAAGCCAAAAGTGTTAGCTCTACAGTCAAAGCAAGAGATTATTAAATACTTATTCTCCAAATTACTATAAAACATTCATCAACACTTAGGCATGGTCCCCCTCCCCCTACCCTTTTTGTTTTTTGTTTTTTGTTTTTTTTTGCACAACTGAAACATTCCTTAAGTTACACTCCCCAACACTGGTCGGTTTTTTTCATCTCTTTCCTTCTTTTAAGAACAAAATCTACTCCAAACCCAAAGACATATTTCATTAAATACTAATTAATTTAAGAATTTAATCTTGTTTTCCAATGCGTTGTAGCCAAATCTAGGAGCAAAAAAATTGCCCTAGTTGAAGATTCAGGTGGCTTGGCTTATTTTTTTGACAAGTAGCACGTATAGTAGGCCGACAAGTGGCGCTATCATCCTTGCATTTTATTTTCCTTTTTGTATAAATTTGATATGTATATGTTTCCTATGAGGATATAGTTTTGATTGATTCACTTGGATGAAGGGATATTTTTTTTTTTTTTTAACTAGTTGGTATATACGTGTCTCGCATATGGACTATTTTAGATGTCAAATCATATATACTCTCCAATGTTCCCAACGTCAATGCACTCTATCACAAAAACATTAATCATTAAGAAATTTGTTATAACATTGCTTAATGGACAATACTATTAGGATCTAATTTAATCATCTAATTTATTATGTTCATTAGATTGATAATGCGTCTCAATACAATGAATAAAATCTACTATCAATCTAAGGACAACAACTTCAATCATTAGAATTTTTCAAAACCAAATGACAAACGCTATTCCACCATTTTCCAATCTTCTACTTTCAAAACTATTCAAAACTTAGAAGGGTAAAACTACACTTTCCTTTCAAAAGCTACCACCATCACAAAACTTTGTTGTCTTCAACAAAAACTACTTCAAATTTTGCAAGCTTATTTTGAACTTAATCTTTGTTAGATATAGTTAGAAATTTTCATTTTTTTTTTCCAAAATTGACACTATGTTATGATCAAAAACTTTAGATTTCATGTCTTACATCATACCAATATTGATACAAGTACTACAAACAAAGTTGAATTTAGAATCACCCTTCCATAAAGAATACCCCTTCGTAAATCCCTAAGGAGCCATCAACATGATCTAGGACCCATTGTGACATTCAAGTCTTGATGACCTCTCTCTCATGTAATCAACCAAAAATAACCCTCAAGACAACAAAAACATCAAGAATTAATAATTTCAATGTTAAATATCGGTATCCATACACATTCATACAAAATAAGTTACAGAACACCTTTGAAGATAAGTGTTTGCCCGTAAGTGAGGATGTTGGTGAGGGGTTAAAAGAGGGAATTGAGGTCTTTGACAATGGAGTCATCAAGAGACAGGTTGATTAGTATGGATCACCCATTAAACTTGGTAGTCACAGTGATTCAACTCCCAGTATTTGTAAAGTCACATTTCCCTTTCACCATTTTGTCAGTTTTTTTTTTCACAATATGTGGAAGAGACACACTGCATAAGTTAAAGAAAAATAAGTTACATTAATTATTATAGAGACACAATAAAATCAGAATTATTTACAGCAACTACTGGGTTAATTAGGAGTTATGCTCTTTTGTCTCTCTAACTTTTAAATTTGACGTAGTGGAGAAAGTGGTAAGAATGTGATTAATAACACACCCTTGAGCTTACATGTAATTGATTAAAATTTCATGTGTGTAAGGTTTATATTTATTCATTCACATTTAGGGATTAAAATGGATTAATTACATTATTGAAGGATGAAAAGGGAAACGAAAAGTTTTTCAACTATAGTGACTTTTTAGAGTAGTATAGATTAATTAGAGAGTGAAAATGCAGAAGCGGATTAAAATCGAAAATTATATGTTTTTGTCACAGTTTAGAAGTAACACCAATTTGAGAGACAAGATCCCTACCTACATCCACATGAACAGCTTTTCTTTATTCCTTTCTCTCTAAATTAAAAAACAGTTACAACATATTTATAATAATCTTGATCCTAGTCTAGCTAGCAAACTTAGTCCTAATAAATCTGATACATCAAATCCTAATAAACTTCCTAACTTACCAAATACTGATAAAATTCTTTTACCAGAAGAACACGACACAACATGGGCCTTCCACATATACCCATTTTGTGCCGTGAGCTGTTCCCTGTCACGAGGCATTCCTTGTCTCGTATCCCCCAACCTATTATTCAACGCTGACCACCAACAGTCATGTAAACCTAGTGAATATGAACCATCCACTATTTTTAACATTTTCTCACCCAACTCCCTCTCAGAATCCTTCTCTATTCACTCTCTTCCTACCTTTTTTCCCTTTTTTTTATATAGTTTCTAATCTTTTATTCCATATCATTGAAGAAGAAAAGCCTCATGACATGAGGGATCTGGAGGGGATTGTTGAGTTTATTGAGGTCCTTCCGGAGACCATATTCAACTTTCTTGGTGTAACAAAAAAAGTTGTACATTAGCAAATCTTGATTTGGAATTTTCATTTCTTATAATACAAAAACGTCTCAGGTCATTTAGATCCGACATCTTGTACTAAGATTTATGTTTTAATTTTTTTAACTATAATAAATATTTTAATCATTTACATATATTTTAGCACATAAAAATGACGTGTTTTGCACAAATGTACCCTAACCTCTTTATAACGAAAAATCACTCTGCAACCACTCGTATTGGTTAAACTAAGACTTAATCATTAAAATTCTTATTCAAACTATCTTAGTTGGTTCTGAATTATATCTCCTGCTTGAAAATGAAGAATAAAAATCTTATCCCCGCGCCCTAGAAGGATAATAAAACACTCAAAAGCCCAGCAAGAAATTAATAATGGGAATGATTTGTTTGGGGTGCAAGGGGTCATAATCCTACCAACTAGTACCGTCCGTGGGGCTAGCATTATTGATAAATTGAGACATATTGATGTCCCATATGTTTAAAGCATGCATAAAGCCATCATTAAAGGCACAAACCAAAGAGAAAAGCAAGATCATGGTAATCTACAAATATAACAAGATATTGGCTTTCAATGCTTTTTTTTTTTTTTTTGGGGGGGGGAGGTTAAATTACACATGAACTCCCTAAAATTTGTTACTTAATCACCTATATTTCTTCACATTTGAAATATTATACTTATATCCTCAATGGTTTATATGCGTGTAACACATAATCCCTATTGCCAGTCTTCGTTAAGGTAGTCATTAAAAATTCAACAATCTCCATTAAAAAATTAGTTTTTGAGGATTTTAAAAAAAGAACTCATGATGTTAAATAATATGTTTTTTTGTTACTTACGACTTTGTTAGAACATACTAATTAGGATATTATTAAAACAAATTGGTTATTTGTTTGAGTATTGGTGTTAATCCAAATATATGGTGTGGCAGGACATAAGTTTTGGTACATAAATTTGTTTTAAAAAATATATATGTTATTATTAGGGTTCTTGGATTTTTTACTTTTTATTTTTTTGAAATATATGTTATGTTCCATCCCTTTTTTTGGTTTCCTTATTACACTATTTGTTAGTAAATTGATATCAAATAAAAATGGAAAACACTCACTGTTACAGAATTTTTAACTGATAACAAATAAATATCTACTCTGTTTCATGGAATTTTAACGGCTACCTTAATGGAGATTGGCGATAGGGCTATGTATTACACTCACACAAACCTCAGAAAGTATAAGTATAATATATCAAATATAAGAGGATGTTGGTGATTAAATAGCAAAACTTTTAACAGAACACTAAGCACTGCTGGACCACCCGACTCAGTGACTGGGTTTCACTGCATTTACTATGATTTGAATGCATCATGAACTATGAGAAACAAAATGGTATAGACTGTGGGCATGTGAGGAAATAGTGACTTGTGAGTCAAATGCATACATATTGTTTGTTCTTTTCTAAATCCATTCTTTCTTGTTCCCCTCTCTAGAGATTGTAGAATCAGAATTAAGCATTTTTATGGGTGCCTGACAAGTGAAAAGTCATATTGCTTGTAAAGTTTCGATGTTATTACAACAAAGTTTCTGAAAATTTGACCGAAACTTTGTCTTCTCTAGAGTTCCAGTCTTCCACAAAGATTTGCTGCCAAAAAAAAAAAACTGATTGGGTTGATACTTGATAGGTCTCAATTGAGTTGCAGGAAGAGAGCTACAATATAGTGTCACAGATCTGGCTGAAAGTTACTTTTGCTTCACAGTTTTTATTTATTTATATAAATTTCTTGAAATAATAGAGAGCAATCATAGCGAAGATTACTCGATTGCAACTTAAACACGAACGATTCTGATGGAATCTGGTACATTAGTGCTAGTATCATTACACTTAAAAGAGTGCAACACGAGTATTTCTCAAAGGAATTACCCATTCTAATAATATTCTTGTCCAAACATGCTTAACATGAATGGTTTGAACTGCGAAAACTACTCTCTTTATGCGAAGGTGGCTGAAGTACTGGACACCCTTCTTTTTATGCACAGCAACCCTTCAAGGAAAGACCAGTTTGTTACTGTGGTTGAGTACTACTATCAAGGATAAGTGTATCAGAGTATACAAATATCTTTTGAATCTTTGGGCGTATGTCTCATTGATCTTTGAACATTTTGGTGAAGATTCAGGCAAGTTTGTGATAAGCGTTTTCTTGGAGCTGCAAAGATATGGATGAAGGACTGTATAAAGTATTGTATTTGTTGTGTGGAGGGGTTTGTTGACTTTGTTCTTTCATGTAAGTTGGGGGTGAAAGTGCCATGTGGTGAGCTCAGAGGTCTGCACATGGCTTCTCCAATTTCCAAGTTTTGAGCCTCTAAACTGAAGGGAGGGACCAGGGTTTTGGAGTTTTCAAGAGAATCAGGTAAAGAGTAAAACCACCCAGTTGATTTTTAAAAAAAAACCCAGTTTTTTAAGGAACAGTGAAAGATTGGGAAGTGTGAATCTGTTAAGACTTAAGAGAGAAATAACCCAGCAATCTAGTTTCAGAACCCTAGTTTCTTCCTGGCAAACCAGTTCAGGTATATCTGTTTCCTCAAATCACTAAGCACAGTACAGCCCAGCTTTAAACTGGGTTTTTTCCTCTCTTCTTGTTCATTACTTTTTCATATACATCTGTATCTTTAGCTTCAACTCTTTGCTGCATAGTAAAATCCATATTTTCCTTTAATGGACATCTTATCATTACTCTGCTTTCCACTTGTTTCAATCCACTGAAGGAAAGTTCCTCTCTTTTCCTACTTGTTTGTCCAATCAAAACCCCTCTATATCTGACTATAAAGACTTTCTCTCTCCAATCCATGACATTGAAAAACAGCAGTTGAGGAACCATCACATGTCTTCTCCTATGCGTATCCTGAAAAACCCAATACCATGGATTGCTGTTCTTGTTCCCATTTGGTTATGTGCTGGTTTTTCAGGTCATTGGTCTTTCTCTCTCCTCATCACAGTAGTTATGATTTTATCTACTGTTTTCTTCACATTCTCAAAGCATAAACAAGTCCTTGTGAGCAAACCAGTGCAAGATGAAACTCTCAGCTCTGAAAAGGCATTTACACGTCATGCGGAAGAAGAAGTATCAAAACAAGAGCCTGATCAAAGTGAGACTATTATGGAGACTAAGGAAGCCCAAGAAAATGAAGATGTTCATGTTCATAATAACTATTTGGTTAGATCACCGGAATTATATTCAGAAAGTGAAACCATTGGTCACTCAAGTGAAGATTCAGATGTTGACTGGCCTTATTCAGGCAATCTCGGTCCGAGCCCCGACTGCTCCAACGGTTCGATTTCCGACGAGGAAAGCCTGATCGAAATTGCTCTTCCAAGTGGGCACTACGTTAGTCCAAAAGAAGAAGAACCCAAATTTAATTTGCTGCAAAAGTTGCCAGATTTCTCATCGGATACCATTTTCCAGCAAGATGGACTAGTGGAGCTTTTAGCAGAGATCAATGAGGAAGAAAATCTGATAGAGATTGACATATCAATGGGCTCCATCAAGTGCTCAAGGCTTGAGATTGAAGCATGATGAGTTGATGCTTTTTTTTTCTTAGTGTTCCTTCAATATTTTTATGGTTTTTGAATCCTCATGGATTTGTTTCTCAAGAATTTAGGATGACAAACTCAATATGCTTTGTTTTTCAATGTAAAAATTGCCATAAAATGTGGAGTTTTTGCTCTTTGGCCTACCAAACTTTGGATTCCCAATTAAAGCACTTTGTACTGTGGCTCTTTGTTTTCAGTTAATGCTCATCAAGTGTCAGAAGTTTAAAGGCCATGGCCAATAATGGCATCCCACTTGAATTCTTTGTCTCCTAATCCTTCTTTTGCTGTCCATTTGGCACCTAATACTTTTTTTTTTTTCAAACCAAGGTTGTTCTGCCCAACTTACATACACCTTGATTATTCTTCTCTCCGATCCGGTCAAAGATAAGTCATCCACAATAGAACTACGGTATTTAAATCAAAACATCCTAATTTCCAAGATTTGGCACCTAATACTGAATAATGTTATTTAAATATAAAAATTTAACTTAATTTATTGACTTAACGATGTGTTTTTATTGTAATCGTTGGATTAATACCAAATTTTAATATTTGATGAGTCTCAAAGTCAATCTAAAAATTATAATGAATTATACCAACAAATTAAGTCAAAATAGCATCGACTCCCAAATATTTGCAGACTTAACAATTATTTTGAATCTCATAAGACCATGTTGTAATTTTTAATTAAAAATATTACATTTTTAACCATTCAATTTCATTTTGGTAAGAAATATATGAGAAGCGGACACAACAAGAAGATAGTTCTATCACAACTGGAGCGCCAAGAGTTTATTTAGGTGTGCAACATAAAACTATTTCATGCAATTAAGACTACGTGCATTTAGCCTAACTCAGACCCAATAGTAATCGGAGTTTTATTTAGGGGTGCAATTTGAGTTGGGTAATCCGATTTCAACCCGAGTCCAACTTGAAAAAATTAGGACTTGGATAAGAGTTTTTAATACTTGGGTTAGACTTAGGTCAAAAAATTTCAACCCGAATTCAATTTGGACGGACTCGGGTTGACCCATCAGATTCACGGGTTGAACTGAATATTAAAATCGAGTTCAACCTGAATTAATAATTGAGTTCAACCCAAATTACTATTATATAAATACCATTTTTGAATGTTATGTTTGTGTTATGTGAATCTGGTTGTTGGTTGTTAAATTATGTTTTATATTTGTGTTATATTTGAAATTGTTGGTTGTTAAATTATATAATATATTTGAGTTATATTTGAAGTTGTTGGTTGTTAAATTATTTAAATATTATGTAATATATGTATCAGGTTTAGAATATTAACCCGAAATCAGTCAGTAAAGTAATTCAAAATCATTAACCCGAATTCAACCCGAACCCGTCTGAATTAAACTCGGGCAATAATTGGGTTGAGTTTATCAACCCGAGGTACGGTTAGGATTAGAGTTGAAGATTATATACTTAAAATTAGATTAGAATTGACTGTTTAACGGCCCGAATTGCACCCGTAGTTTTATTGCACCGGACCGTAGAATGGGTCATGGGTCGTTGATTAGTAAAAGGACCGAGACGGGCTAGTCCGCACAAAGAAATTACTGTCCACAATTAGTGTATCAGGCCGATTTCATTGGGTCTTTAGTGACCGATCCATAAGACTGGCTTTAATGAATTTATTTTTGAGAAATTTAGAGGTCGGTCCTCTCTTATATGGACTTAAGTCCGTCAAGAAAATTTATTTTTTATGAAGTATATTTTTGTCAATTTGTCATACTATCCCTTTCCTTTAAAAGTGAAATAAAAATAAAATTAAAAACTCCTAAATCTTACAAGTTTGACTAATATTAAAATCTTTACTCTCTCATTTCTATCTATATCCATATATAGATTAAGAATTTGACTAACATTAAAAAAAAATTTCTCTCTTATCTATATATATATATAGGTTATATATATATATATATAGTACAATTTTGTTCAATTGATTTTGTTGAAAATATATATATATAGTAATATTAAAAATAAAAAATAATAACATTCAAATACAAAAAAAAAATTATCATTTGGACGCAAAAAATAATACATTTAAACACAAAAAAATAGTAACATTTAAACATAAAAAAAATTGAAACATTCAATATTTAATATTTTGAAAAAATACTAATAGTAACATGTTCAACAAAAATACTAACATGTTCAACAAAAATACTAACATGTTCAACAAAAATAGTAACATGCTTAACAAAAATTGTAACATACTTAACAATAATTATTTCTCTCAAATTCAAACGCAAAAAATAGTACCATTTAAATACAAAAAATAGTAATATTCAAAAAAAAAAAAATAACATTGAATATTAATATTTAAGAAAATAATAGTAGTAACATGCTCAACAAAAATAGTAACATGCTCAAAAATAATAGTACATGAACAGTAATATACTTAACAAAAGCAGTAACATGAACAGTAACATAATAAAAAAAATAGTAACATGAATTTGAATTTTACTATTAAAATTCATAGTAACTTTTTTTTTTGTATTTGAATGTTATTATTTTTTTTTAATGTTACTATATATATATATGGATATAGATAGATAAAAGAGAGAAAAAATTTTAATATTAGTCAAACTCTTAACCTATATATGGATATAGATAAATATGAGAGAGAAAAAATTAACTTTCTTTCAAGGGTATTTTTGAGATAAAAAAAAAATTGGACTTAAGTCATTACAAATAATTTTAAACATGAACTTAGTCTCTTATGAGTTTCCTTGCATAACTTATCTCCAAATAAGTACAGATGACTCACTTCCAATTTTCACTTTATTTTTTAATTTATGCGTCATTGCTTACCGGTCGAACCACCTTGTTATTTTAATCGGGCTAGTCTATAAAGTTTATTGGCCAAAAAAAAGCCCACAGACATACTTGTTTAGCCCATCCGACTGCCCACAGGTCCCTAAGGGATGACAGGGTCGGCTATGGCCCAATGAGTTACCAGATAGATGGATTAGCCTATGGGTCACGGGCACAACGACATGTATATTACACCCGAATATAATAGTGATATACGATTGCATATAGAAAGGATACTGCAGCCAGCCAGCGACATACATCGGTATGATACATAGGGCATTTAAACAAAAAGAGCTACTCGGATTTAGATTATTTTTTAGCTTGTTAACTTCGTTCAATTTCTTATACAAGCCGAACATGAATATAATTTTAAGCTCGTTTTAATACAAATTCAACCCGAGCCCGAGCTATTTCGTTGGATCATATAAACACTGTTTTTTTTTTTTTCAAGTAGGGATTTAATTTATATACCTCTCTATGTTACCCGTCAACAACACACTCATGACCCATTGACTCACGTGAGCTTGAGCCTAAACTCAAATTCAAGCTCACATTAATAATAAACGAGCTTAGACAAGCTAAGTTTGAGCACATCAAAACTTAAATGAGCCAACTTATGAGTCGAACTTGAACAACTTATTTTTTTAACGAGTTAAGCCTTAACAAAATTTTAAGCTCGGCATCCGAGTTCGAGCTGAGATTGTACTGATCTTAAAAATTACGAGTTGAGCCCGAATACATCAAAACTTGCCAAAGTTCGGCTCAGTTAACACACCCAAATGATACAGTTGATTTATCGGAACAATCTTTTACAACTCAACCCATCAGAATCTCACCCATAATACATAACTTTTACAAGAGCCAAATTTATTCATTCCTCACAAAAGTAAACCCTGCATATTCCACATTCTGATACATAAAACACAGTGATCACACTAATATTCACACCCATCATATCAGTTTCCATCTGCATTCAAGCACAAGGAGTGAAAAAGAAAATGTCATCAAGCCTATCGTTGCTATCTGAATTGCCACCATACACCACCAGTCCCTCTTGGCCATCGCGTTGTCCGGCCGCAAACGCGCACCACCCTCGAGCCCCCGGATGACCACCGGAGTCCGACCCATCCTCCCATCGTTTCCACACTAATGTCTCTGTGTCCAATGCATAGACATCCCCAGTAAATTTCCCTGCACCAAGGTGACCTAAATCACTAGGATCCACTTCTCCACCATATATGAATATGTACTTTCCAATCCCAACTGTTGAAAATACGCTTCGAGCTGTTGGCATTTCGCCACTTGTCTCCACTTGGACCCACTTTTCATCAACAGGATCAAAATAATGAACATCATCAAGCTCAACACCAGAGAAACCATACACAACCCAAATTTTTCCTAGGGCCACAGCAAGCCCAGTTCCACCTCTACCTTTACAATTCTCCCCAGGCACAGGAAACTTGAGCCACTTTTGATCAACAACATCATAAGCCCATAGATCATTAAGCCGGCCAGAGACACCACAACCACCGAAGACATACAGGCGCCGATCATCGGCAGTGGTCGAGTGGTAGCTCCGGTGAGCGGGACCGGTGTCCCCATTAGAGAGTAGGGTCCACTTGTTTGCACAAGTGTCAAAAGAGTATAACTCATTGAGCTCCTTGTGTGTAGCATCCCTACCACCAAACACATAAATGGTGTCGCCAATAGCTGCCATAGTGACACCAATACGGGGAGGGGGAATGTCGCCGGTTCCACCAGCAACAGACCACGTTAGATCATTCAGATCAAACACATACAGATCGTTATCGACCGGGACACGTGGCTTGAATTCACCTCCGAAAGCATAAACCTTTTGTCCAACTATGGTTATGGCATGGGAGCTTCTTGCTCCAGGTCCAATTCCTTTCTGATCCAACTGCATAATATGAATTCCGTGTTAAACTACCCATCAATTTCATGGATTTCTAACAAACTTAGCATATGCTTAAAAGGTCTATCACAGTAATAGGGGAAGAGAGGAAAAAGACGATTCGATCAATCAAGTTGATAATTCTTAACACGATTCACCAATTTTACACCAAATTATCAAGTATGGCTTAGCCTTAAAAGTTCGATTCACAACTGGATTGAGTACCCAAAACCTGGCTAGGACTTGATTATACACAATTGCTACGCAACACATCATGAACCCGACTATATTTTAATATGATGCAACTTAGACACGAACGACACATCTATTATCAGCTTAAGTTGTTAGTGAAGCTGTAAAATCTAAAGGTGACACGTGAAGGCGATCCGACCGTCAACAAAGAGTCGGTGACAGTCCAAGCCTAACAGTGCAGTTAAGGAACATTAGTTCGAATAGGTAAGGATGTACGTATTTGAATTTTAAGTCCACGCACACCAGTAATCTAAAAATAGGCCAAACAGAACCGAATTAGCTAAGAACCATTCAGAATAACCTAACTTACCTAATAACCATATATACAACAATTCCATCCTATTGGTGTTTCTCTTATTCAAAAAACCACAATATTAACGTTGAAAACTGATCCAATCCGTCATACCCTCTTTGTGAATTGACTAATCTTTTTAGAGGACATCTAAATCTGATTACAATTCAGGAAGGTAAGAACATGAACGAGGTTTGATCCCGCAACACTATATTGTTGCATATTGCTACAGAGTGAACCCACAAATTCTATGGTATGACCCAGAAGGTGAATCAAAAGTACCCTGACCATCACAGTTCATCCGTGAAGATCATAATTTCAATGGCCTCTGTGTGTGTGTTTGAGAGAGAGAGAGATTTCAACACCATCTTGAATTCAAAAAAGAAAAGAAAATTAGACAAGGAAAACTAAGAGAGAACAAACCTTAACCCATTTGCCTTGTGCCTCAGCCATCTTCGCCTAAAAGACAGTTTGATTTGATTCACTGCTACTACACCGAAAACTCCTATGGTTCCCTTGCCTAGATACTCTCTACTGTGGTTTAAGGTCTACTTATCTCTGCAACTGGTTGCAATAGCCCCCAAAGTTTGCATTAATTACAATTTACAATCTATCCTCACGCATAATTTTGTTAACTCTGGGGCTTAAATGGACTTTTGGCAATGCGTAGACGTGGATTTGAAATAAATAATTTTTTGATGCCTATTTTTTTTTTTTTTGAAAGATCTTACCATGCAAAATATCATTACCTCGGAAAGTGTTTGATACAATTATTAAATAAAAAAGTCTTTAACTCGAGAGGAGGACAGGTTACCCATCTCAATGGCACGAGTCATGCGTGGCACTTGAATTGATTATTAATTTAATAATTATAATAAAATTAAATCAATAAATTATAACAAATCTTTAAATTTAAATAGAATTATTCTATTTGTAATATTAGCATGTTAACGTCAATTCGCAAGTTCCAAGTTTTTAATTTGTCTTTTTAACATATTAAAATTAGCAAGTGGGTAGGTTTAATAATGCATTATAGGTCATCCATTGTAACATATGACCAAGTTCTGTCTACTACAGGCCACTTCTAAGGTGGTTTAATCTGGTTTGATATTAATAAAATTTTGGGTCGATATAATGACATCCAGCAATCCACCACCAATCTCATCCAACTTGGTGCTCATCTGTACTCCTCATTCGAGTCAGTTTATGCGTATTTCAATTAATTTTCTTCTTGGTTCAGTCAAAGGCAAATCATTAATGTCAGACAAGAGTATTCATGAGTGATAAAACTCTCATCGTCTAGTTTCAAAAAGTTGTTAATATTCAAATTCATGAGGTCTAAGTTTACAACTCGTCTTTATTACTATTTAAGTTACTTTTAGTGCTCTCCTCGTCATCCTAAGTTGTAGAATCTAAAGGTTAAAAAAAATAAATAAATAATGAGTAATAATTTTTTAACCTAGAAATGTGTCTTAATTAGCTCATCGATGAGTCAAGTGATATAGATCTAATGAAAAAATTTAATATCTATGATTACAATAATGTTATTAGACAATATACATTGACACATTACTATACAAGCAAATTAGGTCGGGTTTTTAAGTTCCACTACAGTATTAAAAAAAAATTAATGTGAAATCATAGGATTTTGTGTCACGTTTTAAACTCGTAAGGGCCTAGGTGACATTCATTTGGAACTTGATGGGATAGAAAGTGTAATTTTCACCAGACAAGAAGGAAAGAGAGAGAAGACAAGGAGAGTTTGCAGTCACCTTCTATTGCAAATAGAGCATCCGTTTCGACATCCAATTTACTCGAGAAACAATAATACAAATTGTGTTAGTTGAATATGTTCACATTCATAATCTTTTAATACAAAAATACAAATTCTTTTATCACGGTCGACTTCAAGATCTCTATATAAACTTTTGTGAAACTCAACACAACTAAATAGTGGATGATTATTGATCCAATTATAAAAAATGGACTTTACTTAAATTTATGAAAGGTGATATATCTCGGAAAAAGTTGATGGATTATCATTCAACATTCGTTGGGTAGTTCAAATGATAACAATGATAAACTGTAAACTTAGACATCCTGAATTTAAATTTTAACAACTCTTTGGAGTTAGGCCATGAAAGATTTATTTTTTACCCTAATCCGAATGCAGATATATCTATTTGTTTTTTATCAAACTAGATCGAAAATGGGGATTAATCGAAGTACACGTAAGCTGATCTGAATACCCTTGATCTTTAAACAAAAAATAAAGAATGTATTATCATTATAATTAAAGAATAATGTTATATGAACTTAAAAATCTAATCTAATTTGTTGACATAATGATGTGGTTTTATAGAAATCATTGGATCAAGAGCAATGTTATTGAGACCTAATTTACTGACATACTTCACTATGACTTTTAGATTAAATGTGAGTTCTATCAAATATTAGAACTTAGTGTTGATCCAATAATTTCACAGAAGTCACATCATTATATCAGTAAATTAAATTAAATTTTTAGATCCAGATAGTATTACTCTTAGATCAACACCAAGTTTCAATATTTAATGGGGGCTACAATCAATTCAAATGTCATAGTGAATCACGTCAATAAATTATGTCAATAAATTAAATTTCAATAACAATGCTCATAACTAAAACAACACATAGCGATATTAAAACATGAAATAAATTTTATTTAAACCAAATTTACTGGGTAATAAATACATATGGTATATGTTGGCTTTAGCTACATTCATAATTTTCTTCCTTAATTCGAAATCCCTTCAAACATGGAAAAGAAAACCACATAGCAACAATGCAAAAATAACAGAAGACCACAAGGTACATGTGGGCTTGATCAGGAAAGGTAAGGGCGATGAACCCGAATAGTTGCCATCAGGGTAATAAGTGTAAGGCATGGGAGGTGCATATTGGCAGCACTGAACAGGAACTGGTGGGCAGTTGCCTTCAGCCGGAGGCGACGGCGGGTACTCCGGTGGCGGTGGCGGTTGATAAGAAGGGTATCCTGACGGTGGTGGTGGTGGTGGTTGAAGGTGGCAGGGGTACTGGCATAAAGAGCAGTTTGTACAATCATTGGGTGGAGTCATGCCATCACCATCAACTTCTTTTGTTACTGCACAGTTGATATGAGAGATGAACATGCAAAGTGGTAGCAGGAACATAAGCTTAGTCAAACTCATCTTCATGGCCACCTGAAAAATTTTCTGTGAGAGAGAGAGAGGGGTGAGAGATGATGGAGAGGTTGTGTATATCTATCACCTTCAATTGTGCATGTAAGTGTCATTTTCTCTCCTGATGTGCTGTTGGCAATGCCACATAAACACAAACAATGACACATGGCTTAGCAATGTGGCAATTGAAGTGTTGGTAGGAAGTTTTGACTTATTTGCATGGATTGGCACACAAACAAAACAGAAGCTGAGAGGAAACTACTGTGAATATGTTTAGATTTAACTCGGTTGTTATTGAGTCAAAAGTTGGGTTCAAGGCCGAGTTTGGATTCGAGTTGAACCTAATTCCCGAGTTTGAATTCTTACCCAAACTCTAGAATTGATGAAATTTCTCAATTTTGGATACTTGGTGCCATGCCAATTTCCCTTTTCTGTCAGAAAATCACACTCCTAGAAAATGATCTTACATGAAAAAAAAACATTTGTAGTGCAAATTTATTATTATATACCACCATCACTATTCGCCATAGTCACCAGAGCCACCCTTAGGCTACGTGCCCCCTCAATTTTTTTTGTAAAATTTATAAATATTAAATTGTGGCCACCTTATTATTGTATTCTAGTAATATCGATTTGAATAGAACCCTATCAAAATCATTGTTAATTTTTTGAACAATGTTATTGAGACTTTATTTAAGAACTTAATGCATTGTGATATTAATAATGAGTCTCAATATTTAATAAACTTCAATATCTATCCAATGGTTACAAACAAATCATTAGGTCTCCACTAATTAAATATCAAATTAGTTACAACTAATATTATTGTTAGCTTTTAAACACGTTTCAGACATATCTGAATATGTTTTGAACATATTGAGGTTATTTTGTTATTTTTTATAAATTGTAAGGTTATTTCGTTATTTTATAAAATAGTGTGTCATTATGTAGTAAACTATAGGATCATAATGAAAAATTGTTACCCTGATTTTATATATAAAAAAAATATTGTTGATAAGATTGACTCGTAATTCTTGCAAATAATAAAACATCGTAGTGACAACAATTAGTCTCATTCTTGGTAAGAAGTTTGAATTATTTTTTATTTGTTCATGTTATGTATATCAGTCAGTTTTTAATCTAGTATGTTTACTGAACTTTTAAGTATTAAATATAATTTCAATAAATATGAATTTATGAACTTCTACGATCAATTGAAAAAATAAATTAATGTGTTCTAATGTGTTCACCATAAATTTTTTCCTAACTCCGCCTCTAGTCATCGTCAGTGCCACTGTTGCCCATCAATGTCGGTGTCACTGCCACCACTCCACCACCATTGGTGGGTGTATGTGTGTATATTGGGAGTTATATTAATAACCCTGATACATAAAAATATATTTTATTGACCAAGTAAATGCATTTTTTTTATATAGAGCTTTTTATTTAGGTGTTTTAATCAATATATTCAAACAATATGCATTCAATAAAAATATTTTTCTTAGAAATTACTTTTAATAAGTACTTTTCGAATTTTATATCATCCCGAATGCCACCTTGTTTTTGTGATTGGCTGAGAGTAACCTAACTTTCTATGTGTAATATATACATCACCTTGAGGGAAAATAATACACTTACATGCAAATTTCTTACACTATTACCATACTCGAATTTGTACCTACTACTTCTGATGAATAGTATTTCATAAATTCTATCCAAAAACCCATATTTTAGATGTCATAGATATTTGGGGTGTTAAAATATGATATGACTCGCTAACACGACATAAAATTAGAGGATTTTAGAGTCACTCGTTTAATAAACGAATGGACTAGATACAACACGATTAATAAATAAATCGGGTGTGGTGAAGCTAATTATGAAAAATACATGACACGACTCGTTTATATATCAATTATACACGACATGAACCTAATATGATACTATTCATTAGAGATGAATTAATAAACAAATCAAGTATGAGTAGATTATTTTTTTACACGAAACCGTTAAAACGTGACACCAACTCACTTCACCTGACACGATCGACAAATCTACCGTAGATTGAGAAAAGATAGTTTGTACTATTTTTAATTAGGCTTTAAAGTAACCGAGTTGAGCCAAGTATCATTTTGTTTGAGCCACATTCGTTCGTTTGCAACGAAATAGAAATATTCGGACTTGGTTCAAGATTGTGATGAGTTTTAAATATCGTGTTTATTTTATGCTTGTTATTTTTTTTTTTCAACCTTGAACTCAACTTGGCTGGTTTTGAAACATCTATGAGCACTGTGTACACATTTCAATTTCATCAGGCAATGTGAAATTAAGTCACTGCATTTACACTAGCCCACAAATTGTTATACTTGATAGGATGAGGAGACATCCACAAGCATTTCCCCATTTAAATAGATTTTCATTTCATTGTTGTTAAAAAAGAAAAACACTTTTTTGGACCTATAATCTCGGGACCTCGTCAATGAATCTATTTGGAGGTGACTGAAAACTTATTTTTTTGGAGGTTTCAAAGAAAAAAAAGTCAAGTCCATTTGGACCCATCAAATTTTTAAGAAAAAATAGATTTTATCAACACCAAGGAAGAGCTGAAAAATAGGATTTATCCATCGACTTCAAAGAAAAAGTCAATTTTTTCGAAAACACCGCAAACGATTCCAAATTCTTTTTTAACTCTTAACTTTTTCATTTCACTATTCAAACTTTTATTTCGCACTCAAAAAAATCAGTTCCTAACGGCCCCAATATAATTAATAAATTAAAAGTGAATTTCATTTAATATTAAAACTCACAATTAATTCAATATTTGCATTGAATTAAATTCCTAATTAGCTAGTCAAGGCTGGATTAAAGTAGGTTGCCTCGCCCTAATGGAATGAGTTTAGAGGCCTCATTAATTAGGTTTCCTAATCACATGAGTCTGGTCAGCAATCTAGGTTATATGAATCAAACCGGTCAAAGTTAACTTTATGTTCAACAATTTTGTGTGACTATTTTTTCCAATCATCATTACCCTATGTTGCCCTTTTAAATTTTTGAAGCTATTAATCCCACAGTATCATGAATCAAAAGGCAAGTCTAGGATCCAACCCTATCGAAACAAAAAGAATTTGCATTGCTGGTCATTTATACGAGATAAATACACAAAAATAAATACAACAAAGATTAGACTCTATCATTAGTTGGAAGATAGAGATTGTATTGATTAGGCTCTATCATCAGTTGGTAGATTGAGATTGTGTTGAGGTTAATCATTATCCCCGCAAGCAAAGTGTGTCATGCAGGACACTGAACTTGTCTCGAAGAAGTTAAAACCATGGCGTGGAGAGGGGTTTCGTAAGACTATCAGCCACTTGATAATGAGAGGACAAAAAATTAACTTTGAGATTTCCTTTGGCCACATTGTCACGAACAACTGCTCAAAGGGGTTTAGGAGAGTTGTTGGATGAAGGACGATTAAATCCAGTAAAGTGCTTGCTGTGATAACCATTAGAAGCATTGCAGGGAGAACCACGATTGTCATTATGTTGAGGAAAGTAACTGAGGTGAAAGGTATTTTTAGAGGGGCAAGATAAGCCACGACCACCACGCCCGTCCATTGCATCTGCCACGGGACTACTGGTGGGATTTGGGGTTAGGAGGAACCGAAGAGAGAACACCGCGATAGGAGAAATTTGCGGTGGTGAGGGTGGCCCATGCAACGGCGTCTTGGGCAAGACAAATTTTTTTGGAAAGAAGATGACCGAGTACGTCTGCAAGAGTCATGGTACCTGCTCGAGTAGCGATCGAGATACGAAACAGACCATATTCGATTGGTAAGCCACCAAGGAGATAAAGGATAAGGTCGTCATCGAAGAGTGGGCGTTCAGCGACAGCTAGTTGGTGAAGCGGAGAGAGCTGACCAGACGGCATGAGATGTTGGGAGCCAACCAAGGAGAAGTTGGTCTTGTCGTTTCCAAGCAATGAAGGCAGGATTAAGAGTTTTGGTTGAACCAGATTCCAGATATTCTAGTGGACAAAGGAATGGATCCCTCAATGTAGCCAACAATTTGGTGGCCGCGAAGATGCGGTATAAGTCGAGAAACCCAAACAGGATAATTGGTTTCATCTAGTTTTGTGATGAGGCTTGCTGCTGTAGGAGAAATAGTAGGAAACAATGGAGGAAGAGAGCTGGCAGAGAGACTCTCGGTTGTGGGTGCTAGTTGGTAGATAGAGATTGTGTTGATTAGGCTGCATCATCAGATAGTAGACAGAGATTGTGTTGAGCTTAATCTTTATCTCTAATAACACCAAAAAACCAATTTTAATTCAACAAAATTAATAGAAAACTTGGAGATTCTTTGATTAAATTTTATCAAAATCAAACCCAGTGATTATCTTGTGTCATATTTGCACATAATTTCAAACTATTCAAACATAACTGACCATAAATTCTATGACTATAGAAAAAATCATGTAAAAATAAGTTGCTTCATTTAGTACATAAAATAATATTATTGTGATTTAATTTGTTAACATAATTTATCGTAAGTGTTGATCAATACTGCACTACACCTAATATTGAGACTTAATGGGTAATCGAATAATTACATTAAATTAAATTAATAAATTAGTTCAATTAGAACTACCCTTTTTGTTGTAATACGAGAATGAGAATGTTTTCCCTTCTATCAAAGCTTATACTTTCCACTAATGATAGTTCAAATAATAATAGAGACAAATTATAAATTTAGATATTTTATGTTTATATCTTGATAATTTATTGAGATCAAGTTATGAGGGAGTTATTCTTCATAAATATCTTAGTTCCAACGTGAATGATTTATTTTTGATCGAATCCAGAAAGAGATTAGTCGAAGTGTGTATAAATTGACTCACACACACACATAAAAAAAACACCTAAAAACCTTATGCCTTCTGCCTAGGAGGGAAAAATTCAGGGTAAATTATACTTTATCCCTTAAATTATTACCTTTATTTTATTTTGTACCATAAATTATAAAAAATTTTATATTTTACCCAAAAATATTAATTTTATTTTATATCACTCTAATAAATATCAACTGTCAATTTTTTGACAATAAATGTGTATGTGAATGGTCTATACTGTCAATAAACAACTGCTTATTGCACATATAAAGGTCAAAAATTAAGAAAAATATTCATCCATCTTCCCAAGCTTCAAATTTTCTTCTTCTCACCGATTTTTTTTTTCTAGTAATCATTTAGTTACAAACAAGGATCGAAATTTCGTTTCGAAATACCGTTTCAGTCATCTAAATTTCCGAAACGTTTCGGAAATGCAATGGAAACGCGGAAAAAATATGAAAACGCGTGGAAACACAAATACAATCCATTAATCTATATCTATAAAGATAAACTAAATAATTGATTAATTCAACATATTTATTGACTTAACATCCATTTATAGAAGAATAAATTTAAATTTAAGGGAAAAAAAGACTTGACATGAGGCGAAAATCACTTAAATTAGTTTTAA